TATAGTTGTTATGTGCCATCAAGTCGCTTGCGACTCATAGCGACCCTATGTACAAGAGCTCTAAATGCTGTTCTATCCTGTGCCAACTTGCCCTCTCAAACACACTTATTCCCACCACTCCAGTCACAAAATCAATCCATCTCATCAAAGGTCTTCCTCTCCTGCGCCGTCCTTCCACTCTGCCAAACATGATGTCCCTCTCCAAGGACCAGTTCCTCCTGGCAACATGCCCAAAGTATGTCAGACGAAGCTTCAGAATCATTGACTCCAAGGAGCATTCTGGCTTCACCTTCTCCGGGACAAACCTGTTTATTCTCCTAGCAGTCCATGGTATATTCAACACTCTTCTCCAGCACCACAGCTCAAAGGCATCAATTCTCTATCATCCCTACTCACTGTCCAACACTCTGATGCTTAGCATGTAATTACAAAGACTATAGCCCGGAGGTGCACCTTAGTCTCCAGCCTGACATTGTTGCTCTTCAGTACTCTTGAGAGGTCCCTCACAGCTGACTTTCCCAAAGCAATTCATCTCTTGATTTCCTGGCTGCTGTTACCAAGAGTGTTGACGGTGGAGCCAAGTAAATTAAAACTGTTAATTATCTCAATCTCTTCACCATGCACACTGATGCTGCCAATTGTCCCGGTGGTGAGAATCTTTGTTTTCTGGATGTTGAGCTTCAATCCGGATTGAAGGCTGCAGTCTCTGACCTTCTTTCTGCAGCAAGCGCTTCCGCTCTTTCAGCAAGCAGGGTTGTATCATCTGCATAACGCAGGTTGTTGATGATTCTTCCACTAATCCTGATGCCACATTCCTCCTCGTACAGCCCAGCATCTCGGATGATCTGTTCTGCATACAGATTGAAAACGTATAGAAACAGAACACATCCTTGATGGACCCCCTTCTTGATTTTAAACCATCTAGTGTCTCCTTACTGTGTTCTGACGACTGCTTCTTGATCCAAGTATAGGTTTCGCATAAGCACAATCAAATGTTCTGGGATTCCCAGTCTTCTCAGAGTCAGCCACAGCTTGTCATCCACACAGTCAAAAGCCTTTGCATAGTCAATGAAGAACAGATAGACATTCTTCTGGTATTCTTTGCTTTCTGCCAAGATCCATCTGACATTAGCTATAATATCCCTAGCACCATGACCTCTTCTAAATCCAGCCTGCACATCTGGCAGTTCTCTGCTGACATATTGTTCCAAACAATTTTGGATAATTTTCAGCAGAATCTTGCTTGCATGTGATATTAATGATATTGTTCGATAACTTCCGCACTCTGTTGGATCACCTTTCTTTGGAATGGGAACAATTACCGATCTTTTCCAGTCAGTCAGCCAGCTGACTATCCTCCAAGTTTCTTGGCACAATTTAGTGAGCACATACAGGGCAGTGTCGATTTGTTGGAAGATGTTAATTGGTATGCTATCAACTCCTGGAGCCTTGTTTTTTGCCAATTCCTTCAGAACAATTTGAACTTCCTCCTTCATCACCATAGGCTCTTGCTCATATGTTATTTCATTAAATTCTTCTGTGTCAGCCAATTCCTTCTGATACAGTGACTCTGTGTACTCCTTCCATCTTCTCTTGATACTTCCTGGATCATTTAAAATTCTACCCAAAGTATCCTTAAGTATTGGCACCCATGGCTTGAATTTGTTTTTCAGCTCCTTCAGCTTAAGAAATGCTGAGCGAGTTTGGCCCTGTTGATTTTCTGACTCCAGCTCTCTGCACATTTCATTATGGTATCTTGCTTTGTCGTCCAGGGCTGCCTTTTGAAATTTTCTGGTCAGCTCTTTGATTTCCTGGTTTCTTCCTTTATTTCTCTCTATATATATCTATATAGATATATTTCTATATATCTATATATCTATATATACTTTCTCTCTTTCTCTCTCTGTATATTCTCTCTACTCATATGCAAGTTCAAGCTGAAGCTGAGGAAAATTAAACCGAATCCATGAGAACCAAAATATAACTTTGAGTCTATCCCACCTGAATTTCAGAACCATCTCAAGAACAGGTTTGAGGCCTTGAACACGAATGAGCGAAGACCAGATGAGTTGTGGGAGGATACCAAGGGTATCGTCCAAAAAGAGTGCAAACTTTGATTACAAACACAGAAGAGGAAGAAAAGACGAAAAGGGATGTAAGAAAAAACTCTGAATATTGCACTGGAGCACACAGAAGCCAAAGCACAAGGAAGAATTTAAGATACTAAAGAGCTGAACAGAAGATTGCAAAAGGCAGCGTGGGATGACAAAAAATATTACAATGAAATGTGCAAGGAGCTGGAGTCAGAAAACCAAAAGGGTTGAACTCGCTCAGCATTTCTTAAGCTCAAGGAACTGATGAACAAATTCAAACCACAGGTTGCTATAATCAAGGATGCTTTAGGCAGAGTATTAAACGATCCAGGAAGTATCAAAAGAAGATGGAAAGAATATACTGAGTCATTGTATGGAAAGGAATTAGCAGACACACAGGAATTTAATGAAACAACATATGAGCAAGACCCTATGGTGATGAAGGAAGAAGTTCAAGCTGCTTTGAAAGACAGCAAAAAATAAGGCCCCAGGAATAGATAGCATACCAATTGATATATTTCAGCTAACAGATGCTGTCCTGGACATGCTCACCTAGTTGTGTCAAGAAATCTAGAGAACAATGACTTGGCCAACTGACTGGAAGAGATCTATATTTGTTCCCATCCCAAAGAAAAGTGACCCAACAGAGTGTGGAAACAGTAGAACAATATCGTTGATTTCACATGCAAGCAAGATTCTGCTGAAGATTATCCAAAAAC